TTAAAAAAATGGTTAGTTATTAATACCTGAGGCTATGCAAGTTATTCGTATCACAAAATAATATTTCTAAATTTAGGAGTGTTTCGGAAACTTACAAATAGATTTGGTTTACATAATAGGCGCGCTAAAGGTCAACAAAATGTGCGTCCAGCTACATTAAGAAAGAAATTGCCAGAATTAATCCGTTAATTTCCGGCTATGTTTTTCCTGTGTAAGTAAATACAAGGATGTAGAAAATTTGGCACGTTAGATGTATTAAATGAACATTTACCGAGCTCATCGAACTTAAGAAGTTTTCCCAGAGAGTGATTTCAATTTAAGGTCAGCCTAACAACTAAACATAAGTAAAAGCATGTCTTACCTCCATAGTTCGGCCTTACTCTTTTGTCATAACTAACACTGAAAGAATCTAAAATGGCTGAAATGTTGACATCCCCAAGCATGCTCCCTCCGCCGGTCCTGAAACAGAAGAAGCAAAGGGAATAGGTTAGAAAATGTTGTCCCGAGAGAATGTTATGCACGCAATTAGTCGTCGTTAAGTCGCTAAGTTTGGCTTTTCGAATCTCGGGGGGAAATCAGCGTGTACCGCAGGCTGATGAACGACCAGACTTATTCAAATTACCAGAGGCCGCTAGTTGTGAAGGTCAAAGTCGTATATCAGCTTTTGGCTGCACATAGCACGCTTATCGCGCGTGTTCCTTTGGGAAACATATGGCTCGGCTCACGCACATTCTGTGTACACAAGTCACTCGCAGTCACTACTCAGCAGTAAAATATGACTCAAAGGTAAACCTTTAAGGGTTTCTAAACCTTTGCACTCAAAATGACCAACGACATTTTTTGTAACTACCTATGGACGTCTTTAAACACAACTAATAAATTACAAATTTGTGTGTCGTTAGTTACTAATTGTAACTAACAACACACAGTTGGCAGTCAAATTTTTATTTAGCTTACATTAGTTATGATTAAAATAGGCCTTACGTAGTTACAAAAATGTCCATAGTAATTTAGTGTGTGGTTTAGTGGTAGGACATCGCCTTAGACAATGAAACGGTAATCACACCGTGAACCAAATAAATAACCGTAAAGTGCGGCAATAACATGAAGATGGAAATCCAGACTGCATCATCGTGTCAGTGTCGGTCGGAAGGAAACGAGACACGGGCTAATGAAATGAAAAATTCCAGGACGCGCAGAAACGCTTCCTCCCTCCTATTACAGGTGTATGATGAGTTCTTTGTGAGTTTTCCTTCTTTCCTTCTTTCTCCGCTCTCCTTTCCTCTTTTCTTCCTCCGACCGTAAATCCCTGCGGGCGCTTTGGAGCGCAGCGCAGGCACGCTAGTGCCTAGCCGCCGCTGCATCCGGGAAGGTGAGGGACGCCGGAGGCTCCCCCTACTCGCTCGCTCTCACCGGGGAGGAGAGGGAAGCTGGGAGCTCCTCTCACTCGCTCGCCCCCCACCGGGTTGGAGAGGTTGGCTCTTGCCCTTTAGGTGTGCTGCAGCCTAGTCCGCCGGGCTGGGTCGGCTGGGCTGGACCGGGAAGCAGGGGAAAGAGAAAAGGGGGGCGGGGGCAGCTCAACAGGGAACCACCGGCAGCAGCGGTGGAATCCCATCATGCCCTCCAGGTGGGCAGAGAGAAGGGGTTAGCTAGTGGGAGAGGTAGACGGGCGGGCGGCCGCGGGCTGGCGATGACGTCATGACCCAGAAATTATCAGGCGTTTCACAAACTCGGGTTATTGCGGTGAACAAGTGGTGAATTGAGATGCATATCCGGGAACCAATTCTTTTTCAAACTGAGTCGTAGGAACGGAATTTTATTCCCTGCTTCAACCAAAAATCTATTTGTACAGATTGTTGTTGTTGTTCTTTTGGTCAAATCTAATGTTAATTTTTACAGTGTGCCGTTGCAAATGAAAAACAGAAGTTGAGCTGTGCACAAGCAAATTCAAATTTGGTTCACCAAACAAAATGTTTATTGGTTTTAAATTTGATGGTGCCCTGAACTAAACAGCTTTCTGGGTGCAACTCGTTATGGCTCATCCTTGGGGGCAGTGGGTGGTACGTGCGGTAGGGTGGTGAGGCCTCTCGTTTCTGCTGCTGCTGCTGCTGCTGCTGACTTACGAAATGCGGAAATGTGGGGAGTTGTAATTAATAAGTAATCGTCGGGTGAGGGGGTTTGGGGGCACTCTCCTCACATGTGAGGCCCCAACCTTTTAACCCGGGCGTGGCGCAGCTCCGACCTTATCTGCAGACAAAGCCTTTGTATAAGGTCAGCCTGCATGCGAAATGGCAGGCCTAACAAGCGGTGGAGCGCGGGGCGACCGCGCCACACTCACACACAGAGGAGAAAGTACGTAAGCACCAAAGTGCCTAATTATGCATAAAACAGCTCGGTATGTTTCAAAGAGAAACAACGCCATTGAAAATATCTGAAAGTAGCAGTAGTTCTTGGGTCAAAAAGTAAAAAGCGACGCCCCAGTTTTTAAGGAGCTGTTAGTTCAGCAAAAGACCGAGATGTTCTCGTGTCTTTCTTTCTTAAGGCTTTTCATTTATTCGAAAACTGCTTGAAAACCAGGACGCTTTTTTACCCTACATTTGATTTAAAAATTTATGCGAAGTTGGTTATTCTCGATAATTACAAAGCATGCTGCAGCCACAATTGTTCACAATGATTCTACAATGCAGGGTATGCCTTTTCCTAGTAAGCGCTTTGAATGCCGCCATAAAGAACTACTGAGAGAAGGACGCCGCCCCAGGCCACCCCCAGCAGCAGCCACCCAGCCCAACGGCCACTTGTCGAGAGGCGTTTCGAAACAAAGATGGTGTCACAGGCCAGGAGGTGGCAGCAGGACCCGTGGCGGCTAAGTGAAGCAGACAAGTGGGAGCTCAGGGAAAAGAGAGGGTGAGAGCTGGCAGGCCGCAGCATCGCACGACCGGTTACCACCAATACATTGCGCTGAAATGTGTAGTAAGCAGCTACACAACACTGTGAAGAATACCTTTGTAAATTTCCGAAAACTTTGTGTAATTCGAAGCCATGATTTGTTATTACACAGACATTTCACACAGCACTGCTACCGTTTTTGTTTTCTTTGAAGGTTCGTATATCGACTCGTCCGAGGGGTTGAAATCTTTGGTCCATATTGTGTGCTGTACTTTTGAGTTTGTCTTCAACCTTTTTGCTCGTATCAACTCGTCGGTAATGATACCGTAGCTTCGGGCTGCGGCAGGGTTTTCATTCATTATTTTTGTGTCCACGACACGTCGTCCGAACGCCGTCAAGACATCCAGGTTTTTCTAGAGAATCGACGAAGACGGAAAAACAGAGCGAGGGAAGGGAGTAGAACGGAAGGTCAGCGGCGGCGGCGGCAGCAAGGCAAGCGAGGCCTAGGGGCCCAGGAGGCGAAAAACAAATCTCGGAGATCCATCATTCGGCTTGTGGCGGGGGGCGTGGGCGGGCGGGGGCGGGCGGGGGTCGGGAGAGGTGATGATGGATCATGGATATCCCCTGGAGACCATTATTTTTTGAGCTCCGATCGACCGGTCTCTGTTTGAGTGGCCGCCGGCACAGAGGAGGGGGCCGCCGCCGGTGAGAGCGCGTGTGTGTGCGTCTCCCGGGGGCAGCCGAGAGGGGCAGGTTGGAGGCGGGCGGAGCCGACTGCAGGCGGAGCCAGCAGGACCAATAAATGATTCCCCAGGACGGTAGTGGCGTAGAGAGCTCGCTGTCAGAGAATCAAGGTAATCATTTCTCTGCTGCAGCAAGAAAGTGAGAATGAGAGAAGAGACGCGCGGGCGGACAGACGGACTGACGTGGGGGTCTCCGTGTAACGATGACAGCCCATCCAGGACACGCTTTAGGTGAAAAGAGAGAGACAGCCTTTTTTTCTCTCTTTTTTTGCGATGTTTGACGGGCTAGCGGAGCGGCGTGCCCGGGGGCAGCGGGGCCGCGGCACACAGGGCGCGGTACACAGAGTAAGTCAATGGGTATGTTGACTGCCACCGGAGATAGAGTGCCAGGACGTTTCCGAGCTGCTTGGGGGGATGAAGGCCTTTGCTTTCTGCTGGCGAGGGCTGCCTGCGGTCTCCCCCCCCCCCGCCCCCCTTTTCGCTCTCTTCCTCTCTCTCTCTTCTCACGCTATTGTTTCGTGTGCTCACGGCACGGTGCCTTTGAAGAGCCCGCGCGAGCGAGCGGAGGCACAGCTTATATTTGTCGGGACGGCTCCGCCCGCTCCGCCGCTGCTGGCCGTGCTGCGCTCGAGCAGACCAGGGCACGCTCCTGTGCATGCTCATGCACTTCTTGTTATTGGCAGTCAGACGTGTTACTTGCCCCGCAGACGTGCCCCCCTTCCGCTCCCCTCCCCCTCCCTGTACCCCCTATTTTTTTTCTCTCATTTTTTTTACACACTCACACACACAGTGCCGATTCCGCGCGCTCTGCGACGGGCCATTTATTCCCACGACGCCAGCCGTGCTCTCACCTGAATGAACTCGCGGGGCGTGGCGGGGCGTGGCGGGGCGTGGCGGGGCGTGGCCGGCCACTCCGTCTCGCTCGCTCCCTCTCCCTGCACGTCAGCGGCGCCGCTATCTCCGTCGCCCCGCCCCGCTACGGAGAGCACCTGAGTCACCCTGCGCGGTCCAGGTCATGCTTCACCCCGTAGACCTTTCGCATTTGTATTTACCTCACTCCACTATTATTTTCCTGTTTTTCCGTACACTCACGCAGTAGGTCATTCCGTTCACCCCTTCCCCCCTCCCTCCCTCTCTCTCTCTCCCTCTCTCTCCCCTCACCACTCACTAGTTTCTCACCGCCATCTCATCGCGGAGGCAGCAAGTTGAAGCGTCCGCTGAATGCACGTTCAATTATTCACAAGCCGTCCGCCCTGCTTCTTCCTGTTTCGTATTCACATTCGCATTCATGCTACACTGTTCGCCCCGACGGCCGACTTGTTAATGGTTCCATGACTCTTGTCTTTCGAATGCAGTCGTCGAACAAAACTCAATGGTGCTAAAGTACTTAAATAACCTCATTGGGTTGGGTTGTTTGTATGTGTGTGTGTTTCCTTAAACGTTAATTTATTTGTGACTATGTCTACGTTATATTTTGTGGACGAACATAATTTGACAGCGCACACTGGGGCCCCATTTTCCTTGACATGCGAATGAAATTATACGGCCAATATGGCAGAAATATTAAATGGGGTGTCGGCACACTGTCGGAAAAAAAACGAGTTGAATTCGCCAGTGTGACGTCAGTGTTTTAGTATGACCAGCACAAACCGGATGATATGTTGAAACGAGATGAGGCGGAGGGGGAAGGAAGGAGGCGTAGGGGGGGGAGAAGACAGAGAGAGGGGCACCGCTGCAGCCTG